AGGTCCGGCTTGGACGGTGTCGGGAGAAGGGGTAAGTTTCTGAAATCCTTTCTTTCTCTTCTCTGCGTGAGGGAACCGAATGAGAGGAGTCTTTTTTATTTTGTGAAAAGAGCGACGGTTATGCGAGATCGTAGGCGACGGTTGTGTCATGGGTGTCGGTTTCGGGGTAGTTTCTGTCGTAGGGTTTGCCGGCTTGGTCCGAACGAAGGTGCGGGTTCTCCGACAGTTAGAGGTCAACAATAATTACTTTAGGGAGGGCAAAATTACAAAATAACCCTTCCTCTAATTAATTTTTTTTTAGGGAGGGGGGCGGCAGTTGTACCCCCTCAACTACAAATGGTTCCGCCGTTGTCCACCCTAAGAACCTCCTTCCTATGTATCTCTCTCTCTCATCTCTCCTCCTTCGTATTCTTGACAGATTTATTCAATTTAAATTTGTTGTTTGATTTCCTCATTTGGGTATCTCTCTCTTTCTTTCATCAAGTATCTTTTACGCCCTCAAGTGACCTCCTAGCTGCCAACGCAATCACCTTTTGTGTTTTCTCTCGATCCACTTTCTTCCACAATTTGAAGAAGTTCCGGCTTTCCTCGACGCATTAATGGTTGCGGTGGAATGATTGATTCGTGTTTATTGGAATTGTGAAGGATTAACCAACAATTTTTAACAAATTTGATTTGGGTGCCGCTAAACTAATTAATCGCAAGATGGGAAGGGTGAAGCTTACAATCAAGCGTTTGGAGAGTATGAATAGACGTCAAATTACCTACTCGAAGCGCAGGGCAGGTATCGCGAAGAAGGCCACTGAGCTCTCCGTATTGTGCGACATTGATATTTTACTTCTCATGTTCTCGCCAACGGGAAAACCAACGATATGTCTTGGAGAGCACAGGTATGTTTATACTTGACAACATATTCAAATCAGAACTCGTGTCATGTAGCTTGTCGATATGATTCAGTTTTTCAGAGAGAAATGGTTTTATGTATCCTAAATACATTTCAAATTATTCTTTCAGAAAGCTCAATAATCCATGGAGCGATATCTTATGTTATTTTAGATATAGTTAAATAATTTGAAGTATCCTAAATACTAGAATAAAGTAGAAGAAAATATATGAAATTGATTCAAGTGATTAAGGATGTTCAATATAATTAGGTTAGTGAAAATAGGGTATTAGTATTGGTTGCTGGAAAGGAGGATTAATGAGACATTTAAACTGAAGGGCATATTTAAAATAAGAGAGTTATGTATACATATTTCTAAATGTAGCTAGATATACAAACAATTTATTGTATTAGTTTTAATGATAAATAATGAACAACTTGTGCTTGGTTATGTTTCCGCAGTCATTTTCCTTTCCATGAATTTCTTTAGAAGAATCCAAAATGCATCAATAGATGCAATAAAATTTCATTCAGTAATAGATGCAGTACAGCGCATGTAATAATAGATGAGTAAAAGCACATGCTCTTGTAGGTATAAAAAGAACTTATGTTAGAAACTAGTTGTAAATTGGTGATTGGTTGACAACATCACCAAGGATTTTTTTATGGGTATTCAGTGTAGTTTGGTTGGTTAAAATAGGGAAGCAGTCTTGGTTACTTGTAAGTAGGACTAACGGAACATTTAAGATGAAGGGAAAGTTTATAATGAGAAAGTGATGTATGTAGGTTGGTATATTAGCTTGATGGTAAAAAGTGAACTTTTACTTAATTAAGTTTGAGTAGTTGGGTTTCCATTCCATGAATTCTTTTTATGAGAATCCCAAATGCACTAATAGATGTAGTAAAAGCTCATGCCCCATTATGTATGGAGAGAATTTAGGTAAGAAACTCTTTGTTTAATATGTGACGAGTTGATAGTGGCTCTTAAGAGTTTATGATGAGATATCTTTTACATCCTTACTCGCTTATTTTATTTTTCTTAGTATTTCCTTTATTTTTTCTTGTACCTTCTGGTTATTTAATTCTTTTTATTAAGATGCATGTTATTTTTTGCATATTTCTATATGACAAATGTTTCTTACCAGCAAATTTGAGGACGTTATTACTAAGTTTGTGCAGTTGACCCCACAAGAGAGAACAAAGAGGAAATTAGAAAGCCTTGAGGTAAGTCCATTATGTACATCTTACTTTTGATCTAACAGGTTAAAATATTTAAACTATTGCTAAATATATATAAAAAAGATAAATCTTATGCAACATCAAAAGCAGGTTATAAACTTTTTTCCTATAAGTTCTCCTATTTTATGAGTCCTTCCATGTTTTTTTTAATTGTTTGTATTATCAATACTCTTAAAGGTATATTTTGAGGTGACAAAATTGCTTACTTGGCTTCTCTTTGGAACTCCACACCAAACTAATATATTTCTCTACATTTATTCCATCATCTTGTTTGCTTTAAGGCACTAAGGAAGAAGACATTTGCATCTTTCCTAGTTTCTCACTTTAGGATATGGCGATGTCCTTTATAATACCTTATGATGTATTGATTTTCTTCTTGCAATCAAGAGAAGAAAACTTGGGACGATTTTGACATTGGAGAAATGGTTTCAATATGTACAATTGACTTGTATTAGTTGATAATTCTTTGGACAAGAATGTATCATTTTATGATATCATTTGATCAATGGAAAAAAGTTTTTAATTTATGTATATACTCATTGACATAATAAAAGAAATATCATCTATGCCTTCATTGAATTATTTAGTAGGTATCTAATCAAGACTTCTTCCTTAAAAATATTCATTGATCATCATGTATATATATATAACAATTTAGTTACTATATGGAAAACAATTATTTAGCTCTTTTATTGAGTTTAAATGAAGAATTTGTGTTTCCTATTAAATGGAAAACAATTATTTACATTAAGAATTGGATATCTTAAGGGAGAAATATGCAATTTTGTCATAAGATTGTATTCAATTGGGTAAAAAAGTTGTTTGTGTTAATGTTTGTTTTTTTTTTAAATTTATAGGTACTAAAGAAGACATTCAAGAAATTGGATCATGATGTAAATATTCCAGACTTCTTGGGTTCAAGGTATGGAATAAACTTGACAAGTTTCTTTTACATATAATAGTAGGCTGCAAAAATTAATACGCTAATATTCTCCTCTTATCTATTGCAGCAACCAGACCATTGAGGTATGTTTTGAAGATAACAACATGGTGCTGTAGTTGCATATTCCTGATTTTCAATACGGTTTTTAAGATAACTATTCTATCTTTGAGCAGGAGTTATCTAGCCACATGCTGAACTTAAGATCTCAATTATCTGAAATGCAAAGAAGATTAAGGTGATATTTTCAATTTTTATTATGTTAGATGAACAACTCATTTCTTCATTAAGTTTACGATCTTTTCAAATTTTCTTGTACAGTCATAAAACAAAATTAAGAGTTTGTGACTAGAGACAAAGATTATAAAATAAGTTCCATGTAGCAACACTTATAGCTGCAGGCCACATATAGTAGATAGCTTCATATCTCACATAATTGTAAATCCCATGATTGCATAAAAACCATTAGTAGAAATCACAACAAACTACAATGATAATTACAATGGCAGCATCATAAGTCACTATTAGAATAGTCATCAGGAGCCTTGTAGAAATGGTGCTAACCTCCTTCGAAAAGATTAAGGGTCTAGTACTCTGAAAAGTATTTGGGGCAGGCTGCTTCTTCTAAACAAGGTCATCAACATCTATTGTAACTTAAATGGTAGAAGTAGCATTGTTGTATTTTCTACTCCTCTTTCTCTCAAGCGGACACAAAGCAATCTTGATAGGCATTAGCTCATTTAGGGTAACCCTTCAATGTTGTAAATGGTTGCCAAAATAAAATGTGCTTGTTTCGATTTGGAGAGCGACCTAGGACAAAGAGATGTTGCTTCAATAAAAACCTTGATAGTATCATTTATATCTTTCATGCTGCAAATAAAAATATTACTTATTAGAACATAGGAAATGATATCCTAAATAAGGAATATTCAAAATAAGTATAAAGATTATAAAATTAAACACACTAGCCATCAATTAACTCACAAGAGATTATGTGATCGAATTGAAATGCCGTCCCAAACGATGACTTAATTTCAACTAATGGAATTGCTGTTTAGTGTTTTTAGGTTTGATTTGGTTAGATAAACTAGGATGATATGGTTTTTACTGATACAATTTTGCATTTAATGTTTTTATCTTGTATTTTTACCAGCTGAGGTAGTGAGTGATTATTTACCGGGCTGGGATAGCCTATCTGTGCAAATAAATTATAAAATATATTACTGTTTTATTCCAAGCAATGATCACTTTCTCGACCTAATAATCAAAAGCTTTTTGCACGGTGCCAGTCAGAACTAAGACTTTATTTGAGACAGCTTTTTTACTGCTGTGTAAAACAACTTCATAATACAAATATTTCTAATTCAATAAATTTTTATACTAGAGATTCCTTTTAGAAAACAATAAGAAAGCTATCACAAACAAAACCTAAATTTTAATGGAACAGTGGCGTCTCTGCTATGGAAACTGAACCGCTTTGAATTTTTGAAACGTCAACCTGTTTGATGTAGCTTTTACTTATTTCACTTATTAACTGTTGTGCGTAACACATTTTTTACAACAGTTATTGGACTGACCCTAACAACGTTGATAGCATAGAGCAAATCACGCAAATGGAACATACTCTACTGGAAGCTATAAATCGGATTCAAATGCAAAAGGTATGTATTATTTATAGTTGGTGCTTAACAACTACGTAAAAAAGGGTACCACACGACACTTTCAAAGGCTTGCGCAGCACATTCTTACAATCTTTTTTTTTTTTGGACTTTCAATAGGCTTTTCTTCTATTTTAGTTCCCTAAATTCTTTCCTTGCTTAATTTCTTCTACTTATTTGTTACTGGCTTGCCTGTGCTCCTAATTGCACAACTGGGAATTTATTTGATGTGATTGAATTAAAATTTCTTATTAATTCGACATGGTTCTATTAGTGTATGATGCTTATTAGCAAACAATATGAGAAAATTGTTATGTTAAGAGGGCATGATTTGAAATAATATTATTTATCCTGTGTTAATTGTATTTAGGGGGGTTTATATACATGACATTTAATTCATTTTTATTTACATGTTTAAGACTATAAAGTTTCTATTTACATAAGACTTAATTATTTAAGTACCATAAAAAAATATGACTATCTTTCCCTACAATTAACTTCTGATTCACTCTTTGCTTGACAGATGTACCTTACCAACCAACCTTTTCAGTTAGATTACTCTGGTGAGGTACAAACTTTTTCACATTTATCTCAGCTTCTAAATTATTCAGTACATAATAAAGTTCAACTATTATTTTTTATTGACTGCATTAAAAAAAAAAATGATGTGTTTTGTTTATCCATAGTTTCTCAATGCCATGAACTTGCCTGTGGATTCGAGCAACGAGCAACAACCTTCAAATATGCAATGGCAGCATCATGGTGATGACCAAAATTTCATGTTTTCAGGAGCTCCTAGCTTGCTACCTCAAAGGTCAAAACACGCTCTGCTATTTCTTCACTAAATTATTCTTTCTTCTATGTTAAGTTTCCTGATGAAACAAAAAGCTTTTCAACAATCAGGTTTCTTAAAGTTTGCTAGCTATTAATTTGTTTCATGGATTTCATGATACCTGATTGTTAGATCAATTATACATCATGCATTTTGGACTTGTTTGGGCCTTGCCATCTAAGGTGCAACAATTTTTTGCATTTGATCTTTATTTATCTCATTTTGATTTTTTTGCCATAAAAACAATATTAAGTTTTTTTTTTGGTTAATTGGAAGTGATCATTCTAAACCTCTTCCACCACATACATTGTTCAAGTCCTAGCCATTAGTCTTTTGGTGTTCTATTTAGTTCTAGAATTGTGATGAAATCCTATATGCTATTCGATCGTCTCTCAATACTTGAAGATCCATGTTAAATTTTACTTTTTAATGTGTAATTTTGATTGATATGAAGTGCATAGCCAGTCCAATAAGACTAATTATCTGATTTTGTTAAATTCTATAAGCACTTAGGGTCAGTCGTTTCTAAATTTCTACGTGCCAGTCCCATCAATTTGATACTTGTTATGGGGTTTAATTCTTCTGAATTGGCTTAATCTAAATCCTTTTCTTCCGAGTAAATATTATAGGTTAAGCTCAAAGCTTTTAACTTATCAAATTGAATGATATTTATGAAGACACTAATTGATAAGATATGCATGAATGTTGTGTGGCTATTTACCACATAATGTGCTAGTTAGGCTAAAACATAAACATGAAAACTAACCTAATTTGATTTGCAATACAAGTGAAATCTTGTTCAGGGCGCAGGGCAAATTCAGTTATATGTTCTAGATCTATTTTCTTTAGCATATTAGAAATTGTTCAGTAGTTTATGCCAAAAGTCACAACACCAACCTGATTATGGCCAGTGTTTTTTTCTTATTTTGCTGGTACTTTCTTCCATGCGATCATAGTTTCAAAAAGAAGTTCTACCCTACTTCAACCTGCTTTGAATTCTTCTTTCCAAGTGTTTCTTCAAAATTCTTCACATGTTAATTTTTTTAATATGAACTTTATTGAAATCTTGTTTCCTTGTGCTATCGCCACATATGTAATAACTTGTTATTATATTTTTCAGAAATAACATGTGTTCCACAGAAACATCACTTCAAGACTACCCTCACTATTACGGCATAGAAAAACAAGTAGTGTGTACTAACAATGGACAAGAGGAACCCTTGAATGGTATGGGTCATAATTCATGCTTACAGCTACAGCTTGGAGCACAACACCCTTATCAATCCTATGATATGAATCTTTTTGCTAACAAGTTCCAACCTAATGGAGAAGTCAGCTTACAGACGAATCAAGTAGATTTCCAATTTAACGGGTTCAGGCCCCCCGTAAAAGAATTTCCTGCCGAACTACAGAATTGGGTTGATGCCACTAAATCGCATGTTTGTCCCCTGATTGAAGATCCCGTTTACACTCAAGTAAGTTGTCATGATTGCATTTAACATCAAAATAATTTTGAATATTGAGTCTCAAAATCATTAAATTTATTTTAAGATAAGTGCAACATATAAAAGCTCATAATCATTTTTCAAAACATGATTTCTAACTAGAAGTATCCCCCTCACTGACTGATTTTTTTTTTTTTTAGTTCCAAGAGCCAAAACAGGTCCAATAAGATCAGTGATCTATGATCTAGCTCCTGAGTGCAATTTTGACGGTCCAGATCTAAATGTTACAGAAATAAAGGAGCAAAATAAGATCAAAGTGCATATATATTAGCACATATTGAAAGATTTTAATTTTAAGTTGCATGTCGTACAGAGAAAACTCATGCAGTCTTTTATAAAATAATCATAGAACTGAGGCTCTAATGTATATTAATTTTTCTGGCAGTTTGTTGAACTTTGAATTTTTTTTTTCTTTTGGCCTAACCTTTGTAGATATTGTAAATCGCCTAACAGCGATGAGCTGAGCCGTGGAAAAATCTCCCAGGGCTTGTTTTGTTATGGGATGGTTGCTTAAAGAGAAATGCACATAACAAATTTTATTTATTAAAAAAAAAAGTTAATGTCCTAATGATGTGTTATATTTGTTTTAATGGTAGAAGATGGCATTGGCAGGAACAATGGCCAGCAAAAATGAGCAGGATAATTTTTATTTTAAAAATGAAAATACTTAAATTTAGTTTTTGACCATTTTCAAAATCATTTATTTTATTTTAAATGATTTATTTTATTTATAATATAAAATAAAAAACATTCAAAAAGCACATATCAAATATTTTCTTGCAAACGAGATTAGAAATTTAAAGGTGCTAAAAATTATGACGTTTTAACTAATTTTGTGGCTTTTTAAATTTTTTGATCACAAAGTTTTGGAGTCATTTTCGAAAGGGAAAATTGCCAATGAGAAGCAATACCGTGGGAGGATAAATAGAAGAGATTAAGGCTTCGTTTGGGACGGCTTTTTTATTGTTTTTTAAAACAAAGTTTTAGTACAAATTTTTTTTATTTATTTTTGTACTAAAACTCCGTTTTAGAAAGCAGTAAAAAAGCCGTCCCAAACGAAGCCTAAATTGGGCATGGTTAAATCAAAATTTTAACTTAAATAAAGGACAGTTTGAGAATAATTCATTTTATTAAAAAAAAAAAACATGTTTGTTAGAGGCATTTTAATTGATTTTTATTTTTATTTATTGTGGCAAAATATAAAACATATTGTTTATTCAACAATAATGTCTTTGTTTCAATTAAATATTAAATAAATTGATTAAAAATGATTGTAGCAACAATCGTCAACAACTCATTGGTGAGGCCAATGAGATGCAGTAATTTTAGTTGCTAACGACAACGACAATCGGCGGTAGAGAAGTCATAGACTCGATAGTTTACAAATAATCAAAATACTCCAAAACAGTTTTGAGTATTTTTTTTTTAATAATGTGATATATTTTTAAAATTAAAAAATAGTTAAAAAAACGCTATTTAAAGAATCCCATAATGTTTTTTTTTTTTTAATTTATTTTAAAAAAAAATCTAGCTATTTGTATAAAATAGATTTTAGCATTTTGGATGTTTATAAAAATCGCAATCATTGTAAACTAATTCATCACTTAGGTGTTTTGAATATAAGTAATTTAAATCACCTTCAATTAAGGGAGAAATTATTATGTGTGGAGACTAGATGCAGCACGCTATTTGTAGACCAACTAGAATGCACCACGTCAACGATATCGAGCCGTGGTACCGAGCGAAGGGGTGACGTAACACATTCTGTTTGGTCTCTGGACGGCGTTCGACATTCACAGAGAATAATTAATCCAATTAAGGATTCTATTTGTATGGAGAATGGGGCTATATTTAGTTTTAAGTTCTGTCATTTATGCAATTTTACAACCCATCAAATAATCCACATTGATTCTCATGATCATAAATTATTCTTTCAACATTTGAGTTTCTTAATGATCAAATCTTGCCTGTAATCCTTAATAAATATATATATGATCATGAGAATCAATGTACATGAGCTTATTATATTTCTCTTGTTGAAAACACTCATTTTGATTATAAGCACAGAAGATTTGGAGATTATTTGATTCTTCAATTAATATGAAGAGATTTTCATTTATGCTTTAAGTATTTGATTTGGGCTCATTTCGATATAGTGGGATCGTTGGAAGAAGGAAGATACAAGAACAAATTAAATCAAAGAAAATAACAAACTCAAAGCACTATCATGTATCTTTCAATAATAATCCCCTCTTCCCCTAAATGCATTACTATATATATTGTTCTTCTCAAGATACAATAGTTGTATCTTGCCAAATAGATGATCAAACAAGTAAAAAGTGTAAATTATACGGCACTAACAGAAAAGGTTGCTTTGCAAGAGGAGAGCAATATAAAACAAAAAAGATAGTAAAAGTATATGATATAATTCATGTGTAACTACTATATGATGCATCACATCATTTTCTTCCTGTATCTGAAGAGTCTGACTCCAATAATGAGATGCTAGTTTGTGCAACATCTGGCTAGTTGAAAAAAAAATTCTCGACGATGGCGATCCACTGCCATCTTATACGTAAAATTTGAGTCAATTATTATATTTCGTTCTTGTGAAACATCCACCAACCTATTATATGCAATATAGACAACTGACATTAAGGCAAAATTTCCAGCATTTTGTGGCTTCACTTCACTAAGCCTTAATAAAGCTATCTCTACAAGCTCTGCATTGCATCCTCCATGATAACAAAATGAACCTCGTACACCAGCATGAGGCTCCATAGCTTTGCTGCATCGATACACCTATTTATGAAGGTGTGTTGTATATAATACACCGATACACATATACGCCTTTGATACGGCACCCATACGTGTGGGATACATCATTGTCGTATCCAATTAAAATACGATTTAATTTCAAAATTAGGACACATATCCGATACGCATGTCCATTGATAAACAAAAAAATCTGAAAAAAGACCCATCGTATTTACTTAATTTCGAGGCTGCGAGCGAGATTCTCTCATTTCCGTGATGGATTTGAGTCTCCTGATGATATGGGATTATTAGAAATTGCTAATCTTTCACTTGATGAGTATGAATTAGAAGCTATGATATTTATTGAAGATGATATAGAAGTTCAAAGACAAACCGCTGAAGAAGCTAATCATATAATTCTTTCTATTGAATAGTTGAAATTTCATGCGCTAGACAATTTATGTTTATGATTTCGTTGTTGTACTAGACATTTAATGCTTAATTTTATTTTAATATTATAAGCTACAAGGCTAGAAATGATGTTAATTTCTTTTTTTTTGTATTTTCAAATATTATGCTTTGATTGTTTTCTTTATTTTTATTTATGATTTATAAATTATAATGTCGTGTACGTACACGTATCCTATAATTTTAAGAATTGACATGTCCTGTATCCATGTCGCCGTATCCATATTGATGCAACATAGCTCCATAGGCTTTGATTTCACAAATCATATGCCTCTTTCAACAAACCTGCTCGTCCAAGAAGATCACCATACATGCATAGAAAATCAGGCGAAGGATCGATATTGTAAACATCATTCATCAACTTAAAATACCTAGTACACTCTTCAATGAGGCCAACTTGACCACATGTCATGAGTATCACTATCAATGCAACATCATCTAGGATGATCCCTTCTTTAAGCATTTTATCAAATAGTTCAGCTACCTTAGCCCCAAAACCAAGTATATAATTGTTATGTCCTGAAATATTTGCTGCGGTAGAGAGTGATATACTTTAGCGTCCTAGCTTTGTACGATATCCAGCACACAAACACTAAATGAGTAAGAGTGAAGCCTTTATAAGAGATACCAGAGTTTTTATGTGGAAACCCCTAAAAAGGGAAAAAATCACGGGGCCTGGCCCAGTTTGAAAGAATCCACTAATGCTTGCAATTGATTACAAATGAGACTCTTCCTTATGAGGAAGGTCCTAGCTCGAAGTAGCAAATATACATAATATAGAGTGCATTAAATGGTACAAGTTGAAAGAATAAGTGTTGATATGCTCGTTTGGGTGACAAGGCCATAATTAGTGAGCGATGTAGGTTGGAAGGACCGTAATCGGATGAAGGTGGTCGGAAGAACCGTAGTCGGACGACGGAGGTCAAAAAGATTGTAGTCAAGTGATGGTGCTTAGAATGACTATAGTCGGCAGACCATGATGGTCAGAAGGACAGTAGTTAACGATGGTCGAAAGGACAGTAGTTGACGATGGTCATTATAAGAATCGTAGTCGGCCGACGACGGGGGTCAGGAGGATCGAAATTGCGCGACGGTGGTTGGAATGATCGTAATTGGCGACCAACGGTGGTCGAAAGGACCATAACTGACGGGCAACGGAGTTCAGAAGGATCATAGTTGGCAATGGCGTCAGAAGGACCATAGTCGAGGCTTACAGAGGTTGGGAGGATCGTAGTTAGGCGATGATGATCGGAAGGACCGTAGTCCGCCGGTGACGGAGATTGGAAGGACCGTAATCTGTGGGCGACAAAGGTTGGGAGGACCGTGGGTGATTGACGAATGGGTGGAATTCCGACGATGGTCATAAAGAACTCCGGCAATGGTCAACAAATGAATAAAAATTTGGCAGAAGTCCAATTGTGGTTAGAAGACTAGTCGTGGTCGTCGAACTTTAAAAGTCTGTCGATGGTCAGAAGACTGACAGAAGTTTATTGGTGGTCAGGAAGAACTCCGGCTCGACGATATGAATCTAACGAGCTTAAGATCGTTGAATTTTGACATTATTTAAGATACCCAAATACTCGATAAACATCCTATGATCAAGGGAATCAATATCGACCATTCATCCAAAATACTCCCAACCTAATCTTGATCTTCTCACTATTTATATAAATAAACCTCTGCATTCTTCACAAGGTGAGGGGGAAGGAAGAGAATGAGAGGAAGAAGGAAGAGAAATATTAGATATCTCTTGCCACCAAGTTCCTTCTTGACCACTACCCAGACTTCCACCAGACCACCGACTATTGTTGGACATCCACCGGACCAGTTCCTGTCATCAGACTTCTGCTCGATGCCAGAATTCCATCCATGACTGGACTTCCGCACGTCGCCATACTTCTGCCAATGTCCGGACTTTCACCGGACCACCATCAATTGCCGGGCTTCTGCCCGGTCACCGACCGATGTTGGACTTCAACCCGGCCACCGACAAACTTCAGACTTTTTTTCGACCACGAACTGAATCCGGATTTACACCAAGACACCGACTATCGTTTGTTGCTCTGACTTCCATAGCCAGACAATAATCTTTTTGACCATTGTCATCTGTCTACTACGGTCCTTCCGACCACTGTCATCGACTACGGTCTTTTCGACCTCCATCGCTCG